ATAACTTTTGAACACAGTATTTTGATTATTCTCTTGAATTCTTTTAAAGAGGACAAAAAGATCTGAAAAGAAATCTTGAACTCAATCTAGAAATCTGCTTTTCTTTGTAGTATGATTACAGTAATTCTGAAACTACCTTGCCTGCATTGTAGGGTTGAGCAAATTAATAAATATATTAATTTTGTTGAGAATTGGGAATCTTGATGTGAAAGAAGAGAGTTACAAATAGAAGTGTAAAGGTAAGGAAGAATGCTATGGGAGTACCATGAGCACTCATAAATTCTATAATATAATATAATAATATAATATAATATAATATAATATGATATATGTAATATATATAATTTAATATACAATATCATATTGTATATAATTAATTATATAATATAATATTATATAAGATGGTATGATATATGATATAATAGTCTATAGCAGTATAGTGTAGTTCTGTATATCATATAGAATATATATATTCTAGCTCATCCTTCTAGAAAGCCTCAAATCAATGGCACTTCAGAAGAATTAGATCTTGTTTCCTAACTATCATTCCCAGTTAAAAGGATCCAGGAAGAAATTGTGGCTTCGAGGGCTGGAAAAAGAACTTATGAGTGGGCCTTGAGAATCTTCTTGCACCACAATGTAAGAATATACTCAAAAGTATACTGGTGACATACTAAAAGGAGTTAGGAGTCAGCTTGGAGAGGCTTCTACTGTCTAAATCTTGGATAATATGAGAATAACAATAAATAATTACAGCAATGGATTAAAATGCATTGAATAAAACAAGAAACCATGAATCTATGCTGAAAATAATAAGAGGGAAAGTGTTTTCTTATAGTATACTAATAATAACTCATAAATGTAGAAAGAACAACAAAATCACCTTTTACAACCAGCAGGTGGGATGCCTGGGTAGCTCAGTCAGTTGAACTCCAGACTCTTGGTTTAGGCTCAGGTCATGATCTCTTGGGTCCTGGGATCCAGCCCTACCTCTGGTTTCCCCCTCAGTGGGGTGTCTGCTTGAAAGATTCTCTCCCTCTGTCCCTCCCCCCACTCACACTTCTCTCTCTCTCTCTCAAATAAATAAATGTTTACAACTAGCAGGGAAGAACCACCAACGCAAGCTAAAACTAAAATAGTTAAATGTTTTCAAATAATTTGTCCTAAAGAATAGTTAACAATTCAAGCTCCTTTCAGAGCTCAGTGAAATTAAAATTAGAGTAAAATATAAGAATGGCTATAATTAAAAAAGAATGATAAAGTCACATTTCACTGAAGTTATGTATGGAATTCATTCATAGCTAATGGGTGGTAAATTGATACAACTACTTTGAAAATCTCTTTAGTAATATTTATTATAACTAAACATATACCTTCCCTGTGTTCTAAAAATTCCATTTTTAGTCAGAAAACTAAGAGAAATGAGCACGTATTTCCACACAAAAAAAATGTACCAATATGTTCATATCAGCTAAATAATATGTGGTATATTGAACACCACAATGAAATACCATGTGCAGCAATAAAGCGTAAGGAATGAATACATCTTGCAGACACTATATTGGGTGAAAGAAATCACATGTTAAATAGAACATACTACATAATTCTATGTGAGCAGGCAAAAACTGTCTACTGTGCCAGAAGCCAGAATAGTGTTTACCTGGGGTCAGTATTGACTGGGAAGATGACCCAGTTATTGGGAGGGAGCACCTGGAAAATGTTCTAAATCTTTATCTGGATGATATACACATGCTATTCTTATACATATGGCATATACATGTGCAAAAAATCATTAAGCCATTATTTTAAGATGAGTGCATTTTGTTGTATGTGTTCTTTTAATATTTTTAAGTGACGAGGAAAAGTTTTTTTTAACAACTATGAAACATCATAATACAATTCAGAAGTATAATTTTGAGGGCAAGAGAGATTTTATTCAAACAGAAAATTCAGAAGCAATGAAGAATAATATGCAGAACTGATGCAGTTGTCCAGTTATATTCAGCACGGTGACTCGCTCTGCTCCTTCGCGCCTGTAGGAGGTGAAGCGAGGCCATGAAAGAAATCCTGAGGTATTTCTCAGAGACGCCGCAAGAGGATCTCTAACCAAGCAGCCAGTCTGGCTTCCTCCTTGGGTTCCTTCCCGCCTCCTGCAGAGATGCAGCTCAACCCACGCTGTGCAGGCCAGCCTGGGTCTTTCCCCGGAAACCTTGAGTCTGGACCTGATGCAAAAGCTCGAAACAAACAGCATGCATTGCCGGAGGATGTTCGATATTCACAGAAGTGCATGTGTTTGGTTTGAGTGGCTCGATCCCCAACCCTTACCTCTTACGTTACGTTTTATTTTTCCTTTCTCTTCCTGTGAACTTGGAGAATTGAATGAATGCAAGTCCCGCGCATCCATGTGGAACTGTCAGTTTCTCTGGTGCTGAAGATGGAGAGCTGAGGCAAAGGGAGAGTGAACACTGCGCATGCTCTGTAAAGCATTTTTTTTTTTCTCTCTCTACCCCTTCCACTTCTTTTCCTTTCCTTTCCTTCCCCTTCCCTCCCCTACCCACAGGTCAAACTGGGCAAAGAAGGAAAATCACAATCAAAGCCTGAAAGTTTGTCCTTCGAAGATTCTCTATTTTGGACCTTGCATTTTGTTTTTACACTCATGCCCAGAAAGCTTGTTTTGGATTTTCCTTCCTCTCAACTCAGTTTGATTATAACAGAGGAAAGGAAAGGAGAGGAAAGGAAAGGGAAAATTTTGCTCCAGATCTCAACATGAGAAAGGGGGCTTTTGAAGGTAAAATGTTCATGTCTACCAAGCTGACCCATTAAGTCCAATAAGTGGAGCAAAGCATTCCAAATGCCAGAAGAGCTTCAAAAACACTCAAGTATTGTTCTGTCTTTATTATAAACAACTTGTAAGCATTTTACTCATGCTCAAATAAAAAAGAATACAGCTACGAGTCTAAAACTTTGCTCAAAGGGGCAAACAACAATTTGTAGCTCAGGTTCACTGAGCTCCTACTCATCTGAGAAGCAGTATGACATAGTGATTAAGACTGAGACGTTGGAGCTGACTGTCTGGGTTTTAACCTCCAGTTCTCAATCTGTGTGAACTTAGGGAAGTGACCTAACTTCTCTGTACTTTTCCCTCCATCTTTGAAATAGGAAGATTGCTGTGAAAGTTAAAAATGAGTTAGTCAATGTAAAGCCTTCACATCAGCCCTGGGCCCCTTTATGTTATCAATATCTGAAGGTTATTTTTACCTATATTCCTATTGCTGTGTTAAAAATTGGGGGTCAGAATTCTTTCTTTACTTGAAGTTTTCTCACAGCACATTTAAAAACTATGTGAACATTTGACATATTTCTATAAGCAATTAACAAATGATAAGTCATTATCTAAATGATTTTTAAAGTATTCAGTTGTGTGATAGAGAAAATTAGAGATTAGGGCAGAGTATGATAAAGGCTCATATTCCCATGAAGCTGAAAGAATTTCTGGAAGTGGCAGAATGCAGGAATGTTGGGGGTCCTCTTAGAAAATAAGACTTGAATGGGGTCTGTGCATTTAAGTAGGAGAGATTTGGAAGGCAGAGGAGGATGCCAGAAGGAGCCCTGAGAAGCAGTGAGCTGGAGTGAGCTCAAGGCCACACAGAGATAGGAAGATAGTAATGGCAAGGAAGAAACCAATACTGACTTCACTGACTTCACTCCACTCCACTTCATGACCACATTCATGTTGATGAACTAGAAATCAGAGAGAAAACACCAACTTCCAACTTACTGTTCTATATATTTTATGAACAAAAGTATTTGAAATATTAAGAAAGTTATCATACTCTTCCATAATTCTATGAATAGTAGTTCAAATATAAAATAATTTATAAGAACTACTGTTTTGCAGTATAAAAGCAAACTTCTTAGTGGATTTATTCTAAGCTATCCTAACATTGTAATACTTATTTGGTGACAGACTAGCTTTCGGGGGCTACTATTACAAATGAAAATATAAATGCAATTTTCAGTCTTTGGGGAATGAAAATACATTGAACGAAGTGCCTTTTACGTTTTGACTTAGTATCTTTCTCTCTCCTACCTTTAACTTTTTCACCTGTTTATTGGTATGTGTTAGAATGGTACATATTGGGAGTGGTTTTTTCTAAATATCCCTAGCAAGCCATTTTTTCCACACACAATCTTAGTAATCTTAGAGTTCAGTAGGCCTAGCAGGGCGTGTGCATGGAAGGGGCGCTTTCAGCAAACCATCTCACTCCTTTGTTATGGCTATCTAGCTGAAGACGCGCGGTGAAGGACGGGCAACATGAGGTCAGAGAGCCTGGGAGAACCGACACGTCTGCTGAAAGGACAGAAGGAACGCATTCCGTCGGACTCGGGGGCTAGCTCTCAAAGATGAGGTGCCAGTCCCTGAAATCCTTCTAATGGCTCCCTGCGGGATCCCCAAGCCTCCCCTCCCCCGCCGAGCCCCGCCCTCTTCCTGGCCTCAAACTCTTGAGTCCATTCAAACCTTGCTTTCTTCGCCACGCGCGTTGTCAGGCGTGTAATTGGGGAAACTCCTCCCCGCCGGGACCGCCTCACAGAGGCGCTGCCAGAGGAGCTGCCTCGCTGCCCCCATCTCTGAGCGCGCGGCGGACTCACTCCCGCGCGCAGAGCCCACCGCCGGGGCACTGGAGCGCAGCTCTCCGCGGAGGGGGCAGTGCCTCGGCGGGCCTCGGGGCTGCAGGGCCAGGGACCACCAGGGACCGCCCGCGCCCACCCGCTCCTGCCACCAGGCTGCGCGGACCCGGGGCCCGGGTGCGGGCGGCGCGCCGCGGTGGCCGGGCGTCCCGCGTGCGCCCCGCGGAGCCGCGCGCAGACCCGCCGGCCGTCGGGGGCGCGGCGGGCAGCCAGACCCCACGCCTGTCCGCCGGCGGCGGCCGGGAGCCGGTGTGGCGCCGCACTCCGCGGCACCGGAGGCAGGAAGGGAGAGGAGAGCGGGCGGAGGCGAGGCGCGTGCTCCGGAGGACGCCGCACCCGCCTGGAGGCCCTGGACGCTGCTCCCCAAGCTCCACCGCACCATGGCCCCGAAGCTGCTGCTCTTCCTCTGCCTGTTCTCGGGCTTGCACGCGCGGTAAGTGGCACCCGGGCCCCGCAGCGCCGGGGCTCTGAGTCGGGCTGGAGGGCGGCGGGGGGCGCTGTCTGCCGGCCAGGAGTCCCGGCGCGCCCCGCCGTCGGCTGGGCTGCGGCATAGCCCGCTGGGCCCGGGCCAGGAGAAGAGGGGAAGTCGGCCCGCACCTCACCTGTCCCATTGCCCCCTGGACATGGCCATCTGCCTCTCCAGGCTGGGTGGCTGCAGCCTTCCCTGCAACGGGGAATGGCGGGGCTCTGAGATTAATGGGCTTCTCCTGAAGCTTTTAGGATCTGGTTGTTTTAAGGGGTTTTGAAAACCACTATCATAAAGAACCGGAGGTGTCTACCTCCTGTTTACCTCCCTGCAAGTGTTCCAGGGACTCACACACACACACTGGCCGACATTCTGTATAATTTCCATCACTCTGAAATTTCCCAGGACCCAGAAGTCATGATTTCCTAGCTGCCTAGTTTAGGTCACACTGGCAAAGAGCCTCCAGGCTGGGGGCAGGTGGAAGAGGATTGGAGCAAGGGAAAGAACCCTACTTCTCAGAAAGGATTCCCCCGACCCAGGTCCTGCAAACACACACTATAAACATTGCACCCCTTCTAGATGAGCCACTTTTCACACACACGAACATACACACACTTACCCCCATAAAGCAAACATGTTGAAATTGATAAGTCTTCTGCCTGGTAACTGTAAGATCTTACCCTAAATACCCTTAACCTGCCTCCTAGAACAGCAACCCGCTAATGGGAGCTTAGAGGGGCTCCTGGAAGGGATGAAGATGGCTCATAAGGATGGAAGGGCTGTCGAACCAGAAGAGTTAAACCCTGTTGCTGTAAATATAACTGGATATTCTGGGTTTGGTTTCTTTAATTCTGTCTCCCAGACTAGATCTTTAGCCCAGAGCCTGCAGACTTTGGAAATCAGAGCAGCTCCATGCCTCTCCTCCTACCCCCATCCCAAGAGTCTTGGGACACCCCTTTCCCCAAAACACTCTTTGTTCATTTCCTGGATCTGGAAGCTAGAGAGCTAGAGAGCCTTCCTATGGGCAATTAGCCCTGCAGGTGTCAGCAGGCAATGCCAGGTCTTAGATTTTCATTCATACTGATGAAGTAGGAAGGCACATTAACAAATCTTAGCAGACATAAAGGGACCCCCAATTTCACTCCCCACTTTTGACAGGGGTGTTTGACACTGACAAAGAAAGCCCCGGTTCTCCCCTCCATACCACTTATCCCTATTAAGAGGTGAGAGTATGAAAGGCAGACAGTGTGCCAGAGACAGTGTCAGCTGGTGATACACAGGCAACTCTCTCAACCAGGCATTGTACTCCTTGGGCCTTTCAACTCAAGTTTCTTCCTGTCTAAGGAGAGAGCTAGGGAAGGATATGGAAGTGCACTTTCTGAAGTTGATTATGCCTGGAAGTATCTCTGTTTAGAGGCAGAGAGACCAGCAGATAGCACCAGGCATAATGTAGACGTCTGAAGTATATAATCTTGATCTGAAGTCACATCTGCAATACCCTTCTGTTGCTACCAACTGGATGAAGTGACCTGCATTTCAGAGTTAGATAATTACATACAGTTTAGATTTGTAGCTACTTAACATGCTACAAGGAAAACTGCTTATTGTCCTCATTAGTTTATGTGCTTAGTAGGAAGATATCTTAGTTTCTAACATGAAGCAGGTTTCTAGGGATTCCCAAATACATGTACAATTTCTTGGGATTCTTCATCCTTCCATTTCACCAAGGCAGATATAATTGTTTTAATATGTTCTGTCTCTCGGTTCATTGCCTGGCCTTTATAATAGAGGTTGCATATCAGTTGAAAAAAAATCCAAATTTTAAACTAATTGCATTGCTCTATGCCTCTCCTTTGAGAGCATCTCTGTTCTTTGAATGGGTTTTATAGACATGTAAAATAATCTGAAGTCCAGTGACATCTTTCAAAACTACTATTAATGCTGAGAGGGTTCTCATTTTCACTCTAGAATGCCTTTCTGGTGTTCAGAATCCCTGGAAAAGGTTCTGAGAGTTGTGCTCTGTGGTGATGGCTTGGTACCTCCGTGGAGAGAAAAACACCCTGTTCTGACACCCATGGATGAAGTTATTATGCATTACAACGCACCACGGCATGCCTGGACCTTGGTGATACCTTGCAGACAGTTAACTGCTTTCTGAGGTTTAGGAGCTCCTTTTAATGTTTAAAAATACTTCAGACTTTGTCTCTGTCCTTCTAGTTGAAGGGAAGGTTTGTAAGACCTGAAAATAACATCTGAGGGTTGAGCAGTTCTGTGACAATGACAATACATTGCCGATTTGTTTTTTAAGAAAAGCTAATTGCAGTGATGGTTTTTGGGATCCAACATTCCTGTGATAATAGAACACTCAAAAGATTATATATAGCCCACCTAGAATTTAGAAAAGCAGATCATTCTTATTTTATTCATATTCTAGTGGGTCCTCTGAGACGAGATTTGGTTTTCATGAAAGGGAGGATTTTCCTGTGGGGCTGGTGGTCTGACACTAGCACTGTGAGGCTTCTAATTCATTCCCTGAAGTCCTGCAGCAAACTGACGGAAGACCAGGATTGGGAGAAACTCGGTGTCGGCCTCTAAGGGGGCAAGAGGATCTCTGCCCACACTTTGCCACTGTGCACCCCAACCCAGCCACTGCGCTGCAGGTTCTGGTTTACCTCCTGAAGGGGTGGGAGAGGACCCTGCTGCTTTTCCTTCCTCCTCTCTCCCACTCTCACCTGCCTTGGCCTCTAAGGAAGCTTATGCAATTTCAGGAAAACCCTCTCGTCACCACTAGAGGGAGAATTAGGCTCATTATAATACCTGCCTTTGAAGTAGCTCAAAGTCTTTTTCAAAAACGAAGGCTGTGTGTATACAGAGAACTGATGAAGAATTAGTGTGCTCAGTCTATGTACATATGACCATTGGGGCAATAGAAAATAACAGGGCATGGAGACCATAGTCTGGTCTGTGCTGGTGAGCTATCTTTGGGGGTGGGAGAGGGGAAACAGGGAGAGGAATGAGAAAGGTAGGGGAGGGGAAGAGAAGAGAGAGAAAGAAGCAGAGAGACAGAAGAGGGAGAGAGGAAAGCACTGTGGTTGGAGTTGGAACATGTCTTGAGAATGTTGTATGTGATTCTGCCAAAGTGATCTGCCCCTCTGTCTGTAGTCCCTCCGAATGGTTTTGCTGCAGAATGAATTGCCAGGTCCTGTGGGCAATGATCGCTTCCAGCTAACCATGTCCTAGAGAACCTGCTTCAACCTAGTCCTTTTTTTTTTTTTCAAGATGATAAAATTAATATTCCTGACAATATTTCTGATAAAATGTTCTAAAATGACATTTTAAATTCTATAATGTTATTTGTAAAAGTTCAGTTTTACAAATAATGAAATGCAGCATATCACTTCTTGAATGTGTCCCAAATTTTGTTGGTTCCTATTGATGGTGAATGTTCAGGGCAAATAAAAACTCACAGCATTTTATAGTTTCTGTGGATGATATATTTTAACCTTCTAGCCAATAAATATTCAAGAAATAGAATTACAGTCTAAGATAAACCTAAGAAAACTTAAATAAAGTCAGTCTGCCAGACATATGCCATATACTCATTTTCAAAATCTCATATATATGTATATATTCAACCAGGACCAGACTATGTGACACTGCCCTAGTCTAGGTTAAGGCTAGTTAACACTCATAGAAATACTGTAATGTATATAATACATGACATATACATATAATTACATATTATATAAAATCATGTATACTATTGTACTATATATGTAACTATGTGATTATATTATATATACAATTGTGAGCATTTAAACAAAGTAGAGATAATGAATTTTTAGAAGTTTCTTCTCTTCCTTTCTTTCATGTTCATTATAGATAATTTAGACAATTCCAAAAATTAACTTAAAGAAACTTGTGTCCCAGAGCACAACTTGCCCTGGGATAATGTTAACATTTTGGCTCCTGTTTGGGAAGCTAAACAGAAATGAGCTCGTACCAAGTCAGGACAAATAAACCTCAATACAATCTTCTATTCTATATTTTGTTCTCTTTGGTGAAGACAAAAGTCATTAAGGCATTTATGTCGACAAAGTATAAGGAAACAAGCAAAGTTGTTTGTTGTTTTATAAGTTTTTCTTGCCCTAGTAAATGAAAGTCCACCTGGAAATGCTGCTTTAAGGCAGAAGGAGACTCTCCTCTTTTAAGCCTGAATGGCTGTGTTGTTGATTTGGCCTCACTCACTGTGAAAACTAGCTTATCATTTTGAGGCCTCTCCATTCAAGTACTCCTGTCAGTGTGTATCACCCAGGAGAGGCGGCTGACCTGCTGCACAAGACAAGCTCAGAGATGCTCAAGCATCTGTTTCAACCCGTTTATTGAGAGGCCAAGTGATTAAGACATACTAGAAAGATTTTAATTTTTAATGTCTGTATTAGCCTGCTCTGTAGGAAATGAATCAGTTTATGTTGTAAGAGGTCAAATTGCCAGAGGGTATTCATCAAACACCATCTCTGCTCCTTTTCACCACACATGAGTGCTGGCCAAGCAGACCACCTCATAATGTCCCCATGTCTACCTAGATTGAAGGTTCCAGTCTCCTTAAGAAACACAAAAGTCAGACTCAGCTATTTTCAGCAAAAGTTAGTCTCACCTTCAACAAAAATGAGGTCTTGGCAGTAGGGGGTAGAAACAGCATGATAAAGTCACCATCTAACAAACATTTGGAAGGTTTGTGCCTGGACCTTTAGAGGTTCTCAGAGTGGGACCAAGCAAGGCTGATTGCTTGCTGTTTGATCTCCTGGCATTAATTTACTTATTTTTGTGTTTATAGCTTAACATAGACAAGGAATCATTTTGTGACATTTAATGAAAACATTATAACATGTTAAGAGCAGTGGCATTCCTCCTATTGATTCTTTCTAAATGATATTTTGTTTTCATTTTAGAGGTAATCCATTTGGCTGCGAGTATTGGGGACTGTCTACTTATGTCAGTGGTGCTTGAGTGGACAAAGCTTAAGATACTTCCTGGAGCCATTGCTACGACTTATACTTCACGCTTTGTTCCATAATTATAGGTCCAGAAAGGTGGAAGAGGATGAATATGAGGATTCATCATCAAACCAAAAGTGGGTCTTGGCTCCAAAATCCCAAGACACTGATGTGACTCTTATTCTCAACAAATTGCTGAGAGAATATGATAAAAAACTGAGGCCGGATATTGGAAGTGAGTGTCGTTGTTTGTTATTCTAATAGAAAATACACTGTGATGATATATTTTTAAAGTTTTTATTTTAAATAGTTATAAATTCACAGGAAGTTGCAAAGATGGTACAGAGTCACACAATTTATGAGTGTATGATATGATATCAAATATGACATCAAAACCAGGGAATTGGCATGGGTACAATGTATGTGCATGATTTCATGTCATCTTATCATACATAGATTTGTGGAAGGACCACCAAAATCAAGCTATAGAACTGTTTCATCAGCATAAAGACCCCTTTATAGTTGTATCCACCTCCCTCTTCCAAAATTTCTGAACCCTGTCAGCCACTATTTGTTATTTCTGTGTTTTGGTCATTTTTAGAGTGTCATATACATGCAATCATTCAGTATGTGAACTTTTTTAATATTTTATTTATTTATTTGAGAGAGAGAGAATGAGAGAGAAAGCATGAGAGAGGGAGGAGGGCCAGAAGGAGAAGCAGACTCCCTGCTGAGCAGGGAGCACAATGCAGGACTCAATCCCGGGACTCCAGGATCATGACCTGAGCCAAAGGCAGTCACTTAACCAACTGAGCCACCCAGGTGCCCTCAGTATGTGACCTTTTGAAATCGGCTTTTCTTCCCTTAGCTAAGTGATTTAGAGATCCATTCAAGTTGTTGTGTGTATTAATAGTAGTTTGTTCTTTCTTATTGCTAAGTAATCTTCCATGGGAGGAATATACCAGTTTGTTTATCCATTCACCTATTGAGGAACATTTTTGTTGCTTACAGTTTTTATTACAAATAAAATGACTATGTGCATTTGTATTCAGGTTTTTGTGTGGAAGTAAGATTTCATTCCCTCGGATGAATGCCCAGGAGTATGATTACTAGGTTTTATGCTGAATGTTTAGTTTTTTAAAGAAACTGTCAAAACTTTTTTTCCAAAGTGCCTGTTCCATTTTCTATTCCCACCAGCCAATGTATAAGAGATCCGGTTTCTCTGTCTTCACCAGCAAGGAGTATTGTCACTATTTTTTATTTTAGCTGTTCTAATAGGCATAAATCTAATAGGTTGATACCTCATTGTGTTTTGACTTGCATTTTCCTGATGGTTAGTGATATTGAACTACTTTTATATGCTTATTTGCCAGCAATATATCCTCTTCATTGAAATAACTCTTCATATTAGTTGCCTTTAAAAATTGGATTGTTTTGTTTTATTTTTTCTGTTGAATTATTGAGTTCTTCATATAATCTAGGTATAATCCCTTTGCCAGATGTAGTTTGCAAATGTTTTTCTCTCAGTATGTAGCTTGTCTTTTCATTCTCTTAACATGATCTTTCACAGAGGAAAAGTTTTTAATATAGATGAAGTTCAATTTATTGATTTTTAAACATTTTTTGGAATATGCTTTTGGAGTAATGACTAAGAACTCTTCATGAAGCCCTAGTTCCTGAAGATTTTCTCCTCTGTTTTCTTCTAAAAGTTTTATAATTTTATGTTTTACATTTAATTCATTATCTGTCTTTATATAAAATCAGTGTGTTAGGTTTAGAGCTAAGTTCCCCCCACCATTTTTTTCCTATGGATATCCGGTCCTTCTATCACCGTTTATTAAAAAGACTGTCTTTCCTCTGTTGAATTGCATTTACACATTTGCCAAAAATCAACTGGCATAGGATATTTCTGGATTCTCTATTCTGTTCTATTTATTTATGTGTCTATCACTGTGTAATACCCACTGTCTTGATTACTATAGTTACATAATAAGTCTTGAAATTGGGTAGATTAATTCAACCTCTTTATTCTTCTTTTTAAAAATTATTTTAACTCTTATAAGCCATTTCTTTTCCATATGAATTTTAGAATTATCTTGTTATATCTAGAAAAACTCTTCTGCTAATTTTCTATCAGTTTGGGAAAAATGCCATCTGTACTATGTTGAGTATTCAAATCCACAAATGTGATATGTCTTCCCATTTTAGATCTTTAATTTCTTACATTCAGTGTTTTACAGTTTTTAGTATACAAGTTCTGAATATATTTTGTTAGATTTACACCTAAGTATTTCATGTTTTGGAGTGATTATAAATGGTACTGTATTTTAAAATTTCTTTTTCCCTATGTTCATTGCTAGATATACAGAAATACAGTTGATTTTTTATATATTGATTTTGTGTCCTCTGACTTGCTGAAACTCACTATTTTAGGAAGTTTTGTGTGTTTGTTTTTTGATAGGTTCCTTGGGATTTTCTGTGTATACCATCATCTCATATGGGAACTTTTATTTCTTGCTTACCAATCTGTATATCTTTTATTTTATTTTTTTGCCTTATTTCACCAGCTGGAACTTCCAGCACTGTGTTGAATAGCAGTGGTGTGAATGGACATCTTGCTTTGTTCCAGATCTTAGAGGAAGGACATTCAGTCTTTCACTATTAAATGTAATTTTAGCTATATATTTGTATATATATTTTATCAGAGAGAGTTCCCTCTATTCCTTGTTTTCTGAAAGTCACTTTTTTAAAAATCATGAATGGATGTTGAATTTTGCCAAATGCTTTTTCTGCATCAATAGATGAGATCATGTGACTTTTTTTTTTTTAGCCAGTTAATATGGTAGATTAGGTTGAGTGATTTTCAAATATTGAACCAGTCTTGCATCCCTAGAATAAGCCCCACATAGTTATGTATTTGATAATACTCTTTTTAAAAACCTCTTTTATATATTGCTGAAATTATTTGCAAATATTTTGTTAAGGATGTTTGCCTCTCTATTCATGAGGAACATTGGTCTGCAGTTTTCTGTTTCTTTTTTCTTTTCTTTTCTTTTTTTTGACAATCTTTGTTTGGTTTTGGTATCAGGTAATACTAGTTTCATAAGATAAGTTAGGAAGTGCCCTCTGATCTTCTGTTTTCTGGAAAAGATTGTGCAAAAGTTTGTGTAAACTTCAATATTTCATAGAATTCTCCAGCAATATTCTCTGAGTCAGGAGATTTCTTTTCTGAAGTTTTGTCATTACAAATTAATTTCCTTAATAGATATAAGTCTCTTCAACTTATCAATTTTATATTAGGTAAGTTGTGAGCATTTGTGCTTTTTAAGAAATTGGTCCATTTCTTTTAAGATGTTAGTTTATATGTACAGAATTTTTCATGATATTCCCTTATAATCCTCTTAATATCTTTATGGCCTATAGTATATCCCCTGCTTCATTTCTGATATTAGTAATTTGTGTCATCTTTCTTTTTTCTTTGTCATCTTGCTAGAGGTTTGATTTATCTTTTCAAAGAACTACCTTTTTGTTTCATTGTTTTTCTCATATTGTTTTTCTGTTTTCAATTTCATTAAACTTCTCTTTTATATTTATTTTTTTTTCTGTTTGCTTTGGGTTTATTTTGCACTTCTTTTTTGAGGTAGCACTTAGTTTCTTGACATGAGACTATTTTTTTTTTTTTGCAAAGACTTAACACAAGTTTATTGTGGAATATATAAAAATAATAAAATGATAGCGTCCATGAATATGAACAGTAAATATTCTAATGTAAGCAATAGTGCTTTAAATTACCCTCTCTGTACTGCTTTAACTGTTCTCTCACAGATTTTGGTATGTTGAAATTTCATTTTTATTAAGTTCAGTGTATTTATTTCTCTTGAGATTTTTTTTTTTTCCTTAAGTCAGATTATTTAGAAGTGTATTTTTAGTTCCCAGGTGTTTGGAAGTTTTCCTGTTATCTGTTACTGATTTCTAGTTTGATATCATTGTAATAAGAGAATACACTCTACATGAGTTAAATTCATTTGAATTTGTTAATCTTTGATTTATGACCCAGAATATGGTCTATTTTGGTGAATGTCCCATAGGCACTTAAAAAGAATGTATATTTTGCTGTTGTTGAATGGAATGAACCTGTTGTTTGATGGTACTGTTGAGTTCTTCTATATCTTTACTGATTTTCTGTCTGGTTTTTCTATCAATTGTTTTGATAAGTTAACAATAGATAGATCAAAAAGTAGATTTAGATCCAAGACCAAGACAAGAGTGGTGTGTTTGTCCAGGAGAGAATCACATACAGTTATTGGTATAGACCTGTGCCATAGTCATGATGATGATCAGAGACCATGGGGATTGTGGCAGATACATTTTTTATAGGATGAACCCAAGCTTTAGTTTATTTCTTCTTCTCCATGGGGCTCAGTTTCATTTAGAGCCCAGCAGCTTGCCAACTCGCATACTACCCCAGCCACCTTATTCCTCTGTTTTTCCAAGTTTGAGGCTCGGGTGTCCAATTTATCAGTAGCAGGACATAGAACTACATTGGTTCCAATAGGCATAGAACATCAAAACCCTTGTGGTGTAGTGTGCAGGAGGCTTGGAGATGCATGCCCATGCATTATTGGAGCAGTCATGTCATCTTTACATGTTTCTGTTGCCTTTCCATACAATAAAGGAAAGGGACCAAATTACCTGTAAACTTCCTTCCAGCTTTAAGATATTTATTCAGTAAGCAATACATCTAAATTACCATTGCACAAGGTTCATAAATTCAACTGTCACCACATTTCCCCCTTCATAATTATATAAAGTGTCTATCCAGTGTGAAGAATGTGCAGCAGTTCTGCACTTACATGGAAAGAGAAAATTGAGAAAATGTTGCTAATTTCTTTATTAATTGTCAGACACTGTGCTTGACCCTACAGCAAAGATAAATAAGACTTTTTTCCTTGCCCTTCTGGGTAAGTTTAGTCCTTTGCTTATCCCATGCTATAAATACAGCGCTGCACTTTCCATCTATGGTATTATTCAGTACCACATTTGTCCTCTGAGGTGGAAAATTGGACATGGGTAGAAAGTGGGTGAGCTCGGCTTCCCACCCAGGTCTCTGACAATACCTTGATCACTTAGCCACTTTACTAGTTATAGAAAATGCCAGGCAATTCTGTTCAAAAAACAGGGAGCCTCTCTTACACACACACACACCAAAACATTCAGAAGGGGTTGTACTAAGGC